CCGTTTGGGACGACAGCTGAAGTCATGCCAGAGGCAGCCACTGCCTAACGCCTGTGGCTAGACCAGATTGCCCTCTCTTCGTCCTGCCTCCAGTGTTCAAAGTAAGGACAATGATTTAGTTCTTTCCTTCGATCCTTGAGTTCAGAATAGCCGTAGCTTTCTGGATCCGATCTACAGTGGATTGGGGCCCAGGGAAGAACCCTTACAGGTTAAAGTCCTGACACTGTACGTAGCCGTCTCCAGAGTGGCTCAGGCTCACCCCGGACTCAGCAAAGCTTCATTTTATCAGTATCCTCGGGTGGCTTTGATGTCCTCCCCCAAATTGGTCCTAGTTGCCCCATCAGTTTTCTTTAAAACAGCTGTTCTCTGACTCAGACATTATTCGTCACCACAGTATGCTATATTGATAATAGTATGTTAGGATTAGTATAACATACTGTATAGTATATGGCTCAATATATTTTGGATTTTAACGTTTCCCATTGCAAATTATTTCATCGAGGTTTCTTGTACGCATCTGTGGGAACAGCTGCGTTATCCAAAATTTAGGTCGTCCTCATACCCGACAGGATGTCCTTCAGCTTAAAAATGGAAAGCAAACCAGGAAATGCAAAATAACAAATTGTGTGCCCAAAAGTCTGTTTTCCCCCTCCACAGTCAAGGCAGAAGAGCCCTCGGGTCAACGAGTTGAACCCACATTTTGTAGAAGATCAGTTTACTTACCCAACAAACGTCTCTTAAAGAGTTTTCCAGATTCTCATAGTGCATGTTGTCCCTTTGAAAACGACTTTTTTATATGTGCATATGGTTGAGTACAGTGTTTTGTTGAAATGAAACAAGATTTTGAATATGAGTAGCATGTCTCCTTACCCCAGTGAGGTCGAAAGTTTTTATAGGCGTGTATTTTATGGACAGATAGCTTCATCAGTAACAAAGCTCTGGATGTAAAAGCAAGTATGTGTTAAGTAAAATCATTGTATCCCAAACATCACTAAGCACTAAGAAAAAATAGCAAGAGTTGAGAAATGAGTTACATGAGATCCCCCAGAGTTAAGGGTTCTTGACTTCTCGGACAACACGGGATCTCCTGGGACCTCCAATCCAGTGTTCTCTGGCTGCCGGTTACCTTTCTGCGTCGAGCCCATTGTGCCTTTGCATAGGCACTGAAGATGCTTTGTGTAATGGAGGCACATTTTTTTATATCTTAGCCCAAACAAAAGCAAAAAGGGTCTTTTCCATTCCGTTCCGATGGGGAGGTCCAAGGTTTAAGGAGCTATCATATCCTGCATTCATGTGAACTCACTATTGTGCTAACATTAGTGAGTTAAACCATTACAGGAACAAATGGCTCACCCCTCCTTTGACTAAGAACAGTGACATCACTGTTGTTCTTAATCTAATCTTTTTAAAAACTCTTGTGCTGTTTTCCCCTCATTCTGTTTAGTTTCTAAGATATTTACCTACTT